ATTAAAAGCGACATATATTACAAAGAAAAACCAAAAGTGTAACTTGGACAATATTCCTATATGGATTTACAAAAGAGAAAGATTTTGTGAAAAGGACAAAGAAAAAAATGAAAACAAATTAAATTCTAAGGCATTATTTGAAAGAATTAAAGAGCAAGATTGTTAAAGGTAAAAGGAAGAATATAAGGTTGGTTTATCTGATCAAGGTTAAAATAGATGTTGTTATCTCTGGTAACCCATAATGGAATTTTGCTGACCAGAACTGAATGACAAGGCTTTAAAGATTTGTTTCCAGATAAGAGATGAGATATGGAAAGAAGAGATCATGTGTTGTATATTAAGAGAAGGTGATAAGTTACTAACAATTTTATTCTTGAAGTGAAGAGGGAAGTCATTGTTTCATATATTTCTTTTTCTCATCTTTTCTTTTCCTTTTTTCCTGCACTTTGTATTTTTTATTGTTTTTAGTTTGTATTAATTTTGATTGAAAAAAATTATTAAACAAAATTTACCAATTAATTTTTATAATCTGCATGACTGATAGAATACTTGGGATTTTTATTTGTATCCTTATGCTGTAAAACCTAATATTAATGTTAAAGAAAATTCAAAGTAACTCTCTCATCAAGAATTCCCACTTGTACAATTTCCTACATAACCTACCATAATATCAAAACAATGCATACAGATCAAAACTGATCAGAGAAAATTGGATTGTACCCAGTAGTATCATTCTATGGCAGAATAGGTTTTTCTTTCCCACTCTATCCCTGGTACATAAGTGTAGTTCACAAGTATAGTTCCAAAGGACTGGAAGATTCACTATAGACCAGGCATGTCAAACTGCCGGCCCATGGACCGGATGCATCACACCAAAACTGTGCCCACCCAATTGCTGGCAAAGGGGAAAAAGTTGCGATACGTCATGTGACGTCGCTAGTTTGACATGCCTGCTATAGACTATCTGAAGGATATCTCAATAAATAAAGAGTAAAAGGAAGTGCCAACACATAGCACTTGATGCAGGCTAGTCATTTTATGAATAGAATTACTTCCATTGAATTCAGTAAAATTGAATTAGCAGCAATGTAAACTATGAACTGTTGTTACCTTGTACAAGACATAACTTTGTCTTTAATAAAAGATTGGATTAAGCATTACAAAAATGTAATAGTATTTCCCAAAATGACCCTTGCATTCAAACTGAAGATAGCACAGCATTAGCCATTAGAAAAGCACTTAAAAATAAATATAATCAGAAGAAAAAGGAAGAAAAAAATATGGTGACAAGAGGAAAACATAATTTCAATCATGGAAATCTGTGGGAACCCATTCCTTAAAGAGTTGCTCAATGCAGATTTAATATGGATGAGCCCACCTACTAATGACCAGAAGTACAAATATTCTCTATTCTTGTTGAAAAGGAGTTGGAACAGGAAGTAAATTTATATAGTAAAGCAATAATGTCAGATATGAACACATATAATGCATCTTGTTGTAGGAGAATATTTGCAACAACTGAAAGTAGTGGTCCCACATACAAAATGGGCTCCAATATCTGGAGCACAACTTAAATGAAAGCAACATATGATCTGAAACCATCTACTAATAGTAGTTTTAGATATTACCTTTCTGTTGCATCGTTTTGATAATCCATACACTATCAGATGACTTGAACGCCTCATACTGGTAGTATGGCTGAAATATCCTAAGAGACCACCCACACACCAACCTCATGCCCCTGCACACATGCTGGTGAAATGAGAACATAACAGTCCAAATTCTATAGAATAAATTTTATGTTAGAGATGAAACCATGAACAATCTTGTGGCACTTGGATTTACCATAATGTATCGTTCTGTTTATATAAGAAATGTTAATTCCTAGGAGATATCGGACTTCATACACTAATCAAGTTTGCTATAGATTCCATAAATTTTTATATGCAGTATGAGGTTCTATAGTATAGAACCTCATACTGCATATAAAAATTTATGGAATTTCCAGACTGACAAGGCATTGCAGACACTATCATGAAACCCTGAGAAGGAATTGGGCATTTTGGTACTGCAGTTACTTGTGAACAGATGAATATAAAGGCTTTTTCAGTAATTAGTTAATATTTGAAACTATGTCTGGTGGAGAGTCTAGTTTCCTTCACCAATTTTCAATTCCTTATATTAACCAATAACATAGCAATAGATCTTCACCCAATCTAAAAGGAGGAAACAGCTGGAACAAGTGAATCCTTATAAGTAAGGTGGCTACATTAGCTATCCAAATGAGCACATAAAAAAACAAAACATAGGAATTGTTCATAATTATGATAAATTGAACAGAGATGCAAGCTTCCATAGATATCCAGTAGCTGGCGTCTTGTCACATCATTCCAACAGTACATCTCCCATGCCAAATACTTGAAAAACAGATAAAATAGGCATCTTCCTGTTGAAGCAAGTTCAGCTTAGTTATTCCCTGAAAAAGTGTCATAAGTTATGAATATTAATATTGAGCATATTTTGTATCATGCCACAAAATACGTGATACTGACTTACTATAAGAAACAATTCTAACTTTGAAGATGAAATGAAACAATGAAAACTTGTAATTGAGTTAAAGATACACATAATACCTTAACATATGATCAATACTTCTTCAAGAAAAAAAAGAATTGAAATCTTTGTTTGTTATCCTGTTCCCTATTCCCTACTGAATATTTTCTACAAGAAACTGCTTTTTGTATGCTCAACTTCTCCACTATAAACTTCCTTTTCTTGATAGAAAGTTAATGAGTCAAGATTAAGAAAAGTTCATCAGTAACTATGTCTCTATCACAGCCTTTTCCGATTTAGTATACTTCAAGTATGTTAAGACTGCACTGCTATTATCTGCAGTTTATAATGTACAGCCATACTGATGCCAACTAGTAGCGATAAGAGTTTGTTAAATTTAGAAAGCCCTAGGCTCTGGAAAACTGTTTTAGGATACCACAAAGGAGAGAGAGAAGATATCAGGGGACTTTTCACGTGATTCAATCAGGTCTGATTCTATGGTTTCCTTGTTGAATATATATTACTCTCAACAATTTATACACTTCAGGAGTGGCAATCAAATCCTGCTTTTCAACCCAAGAGCAACACAAAAGATAATTTCTTTGCTGATTATCATGCTTTCCACCCATCCCTAATATCAGGAGGAAACTCTATTGGGATAAAATATGTTATCCCTATTGCCAAACCCACTGTCCCTCTCTTCCCAGTCATCTGAATTCCCTCCTAGATTTTATGAACCTTGAGGCAGTCCTTGGATGGTGTCAAAATAAAAAGGGAAACAGTTTGATAGCACTGGTACAGCCAAGGATGACTTAAGCCATCATGGGGATTCAGTACAAAAAACTATGGGCATGTTTGTACTATGGTTAGATACAAGAAACTTCTCGACAGTTAGAACAATTAACCAGTGGAACAACCTGCCTCCAGAAGCGGTGAATGCGCCAACACTGGAAGTTTTTAAGAAGAAACTGGACAGCCATTTATCTGAAATGGTATAGCGTTTACTGCCTGAGCAGAGGGTTGGACTAGATGACCTCCAAGGTCCCTTCCAACTTTATCATTATTATTATTTTAAGTGGAGACATGGACAAAAACTGTGATATTCCTATCCAAAATGTATATTATCATTTACTGATTTTGGCCTAGTTTCTACAATAGTTGCTCACTGTTCTATGATTATATGGTTTTCATACACAAAGAACAACCCAGAAAAATATGCATATTAATGGAGAATATGAAATAGCCTTCCGCAAAATATGAAGCAGCCTTCCACAAAAAAATCTATTTAAGTCGTAATGACTGGAATTTAGAATCTTCTCATGCAATGATAGAATACGCAACCCACATTGGTGCCTCCTTGAAAAAGGCAAGATCAGAGACAAAATTAATCTCAGTACATAAAATTCAGCAACAGCAAGCACACTGTAACAATCTACACGAGGGGAATCTTCTTTGGTACAAACAGCAATATAGTCGCTGAACTCTAGAAATGCTGCAAAGACATTGACAAACTGGGTAAGTTCAAACAAGGGTTGCAAATCAAGAGATAGGTACAAAACCTAGGAGAAAATTGAAATAAATGATACAGAGTTTATCGGAAGAGAAAGAAGCGACACACAGAGAAAGGGGTTGAAAAAGATTCCCATCGCCCATCATTCCCACAACTATCTGGGGAATAACTCAATGTTCAAATAGATCTCACCCTCACGGCTCTCCAAGTCACAACACAGCCTCTCCATCCTGCCACCTGCCAGACTGGATCCTTTTCGCCTAACTCCAAGCTCTTATTATTCGTCTTCACTGCATCGACACCCCCGCGTTTCAAAAGCCCATTTGCTCCATCTCCTCAACCACGTTTGCTGCGAGAGTCCTCTCTTCGCGACCCTCATGTACATAAAACCACACGCTTTCCCCTCTCCCTCTGGAGTCGCCTGATTCCTGCACCATTCCGGGCGGAGAGAGAGAGAGAGACAGAGAGAGAGAGAGAGAGAGACGAAAGCCGCTTGGATGCGAGGGGGTATCCTACGGCACCCATCAAAACCAACCCAAGCAAAAGCGAGGATGGAGCCCTGGGGCCCAGTTCGGCGGCGGTAGCGCCACTACTCTCACCTGGTCCAGATTCTCCTCGCTGCCGCTGTCCTCGGTATCGGAGTCAATGAGGACCCGGCCTTTCCGCTTCTTCACCATGGCGGAACTCGCGCCGCCGCTCCCGTCCCCTCCTCACAGCGGGCCCAGCGGACGGTGCGGCACTTCGAGCGGCAGGCCTTTGCCAAGCCTGCGAGCCGCTCGCCCGCCCGCCCGCCAGCCAGCCCGGGACACAAAGGGCACCGAGCATGCGCCATGCAACGCGTCGGATGTAGGCGTGGCCGGCGTAGAAAGCGCTACTGGCCGTTAGGCGCTGAGCCGGGGGGGGGGTGTTAAGGGGCGTTCCCGCGTCAGTTGGTGGTGGGGGGTGGGTAGTCCCGAGGGAGACGCTGTCGGAAGAGAGAGAGAGAGAGGGAGAGATGATGGGGTGGTTGCCTTAGGTGGGTGCACGTAGTTCTTCTTTTTGTAACTAGTGAAAGCTTAAGATCTCATTACAGGCAGTATAAAACCTTGGCCAGGCCCATCGTTGAAGGAGAGGGCCTATTAGAATATTGGAAGCCCCTTGTGTCCTGTTGCCATTTACGTCAGTTCTCTTCCGTTGGAGAGCTTTTCGACCAGGCTAAAAAAAAACAATCAGTAAATGAAACGTCCTTCTTTCTCCACTTTTTAAAAAGCACTAAAAGCCACCGATTTTCTAATCGGAGCAGAAAATGTTCTTGTTCCGCGGTCCTGATCTACTCGAGGTAAACAAAACGGAACCTTTGTTCTAGGCTGTCTTTCCTTGAGGAGTCCGGACGACTTTCAGAGTTGGACTTGCCGGCGGAGAACTGGGGCCAAAAGACGGCGGCGAATGCAAGGTGAGCGAAGGGGATCGCACTTTGCAAAGGTTAAGTCCCCGCTGAACCACAGTACCCATCATTCCCAGTCAGCATTAGTAGAATGGGTACACATTGTCTGGGAAAGACAATAATCTACTGTATTGGGAATGAGAATTAAGTGAAACTTGGTTGCACGTTAGGGATGAACTTACTACTTTTTCAAGGAAGCAGAAAGCCAAGACAACGGAGGATAGAAACAGAGCGAACTGAGTGCATTGTCCCGCTCAATGGGTTTACTGGTTTACAGCTATCTGGTCTTCCCTATCTAATGATGTTCCTTAAGAGTGAATAAATGTTGAAAAAGTTATTTTAAGCCAGCCAGGAAACTCTTCTTAAGAGTTTCTGAGAGAAGAGAAATTTCTCAAAGTTTCTCTCTCAGCCTCCATGGAAACTCTTTTGAATCAGACCCCCTAATTATAGAGTAGATAAAGGTTTTTAAAAGGCACAGCAAGACTTAGTGAATCTTAGGTGATACCCCAGAAAGTCAAGCAGAATTCAACTTGGTTAATAGTTGGATGGGGGATCAGCAGAAAATCCCAGGATTGCAGACTAGGCTGCAAAACCAAATGCATAGAAGAAGGCAGTGGCAAACTTGCATGTGGCTCTGACCATATAGTCATCAAAATTGATCTTGATTCAATAAAGTCTTTACCTAACAAACAGAAGTTTGATGAATGCTTGTTTAAATAACTGGTATTTTCCAGATTGTGTTCACATTGCTGAGTTTATGTGTGCAGTTCTAGTAAAACAGAGAGATTTTTTTTTCATTTCCTTTTGCAGTAAAGGTGTCACAAATGAAAAGACTGACTTTATTTTTTTGTTTTAAGAACATTGTATATATCATATGGTATCGGTTTTGTTTATGCAGTTTAGGTTATTGATAGTGTTACTTATGATAATACAGTTAACAAGGTATTTAAATCTTGGTATATTTGGGAAAGTAAATGGAACTAAAAATATTAAACAAATATTTTGTTTAAAAATATTTTTATTTTTTTATAACAGGTAAAGGTAACCTGCATTAATCAGAAATAGATACCGGAATCTTTGTTTGGTTAAGGGAAACTACTCATCAAAATTCGCTTATGGCTTCATTTCTCAAGATGCTGGATTGTCTCTCTTTGGTAAACAAAAACCACTGCCAAAGTAGTTTGTGTAGGACTCTTGTAGATGGTCACCACGCAAGATGGTTTAGTCGCTATCAAAGACCCGGAACATCTGTTGAGAAAATTTCACCACGGAAGGCAATTGGTAACTTTAAGAATGTAGTGGAAGAACTCAAAATGCAATATGGGCTTGTAAAGAAAGAGGTAGCTGATTTTATGAAAGAGTTTGACCAAAAACCAATGGAAGATTATTTATTGAATCAGACAAAAGTGATATGGGAATTTCGTAGTGAAGAAGATTTAAATAAATGGGTGCTCGGTTCTGACACAGCGATTGGAGGAAAAAGTGAAATTTCTCTAAAGCTAGATAAGAACAAACAGTATGCTGTCCTGTCTGGGAACCTCAATACTACTGTACCTCGTGATGGAGTGACAAAATATAGTGGATATTGTGCCATGGTATCAAAACCAGAAATGGTGAGTACAATCATATTAACATTTTAAAAAGAGGTTTATTCTTTTAGCCAAAAATGGCTTCCATTTGAAAAACTCCAAAATTCTCTTCTAAAAAGTACTATTCCCATTTTAATACTATTTTTTAAAGTGGGGAATAATAGTAAAGCTGCATTCTTAAATATATTGGCCTGTAACTCTCTATTGTTAACTCTTACTCCTCTTTGAGTGTTATTCAACAGCATAGCAGCCAAGAGATAATCTGTACCTCTAGCCTGCAGGACTGTGAAATTACCAGCATGGGATTTGGGACATTACAGGGATTGCAGGAGATGAGAGGATGGGAAAGGATAAATATAAGTATGCTTATACTCAATGAGATTTTGGCCACTTACTTGGAATTAAAGTAAAAATCTATGGATTGTGGTTTTACGTAGACTTGTAAAGTAGATCCTTGATTCACAAATAAGCAATTACAAATTGCTCCATTACCCTCAGAATATGCTCAAATTACTCCCTTGTTTAATAAAAAGTATTACTTTAACACCACTGATTTAGCTGGAGAAAACGTGCCATATTTCCTATCTAAGTGTCCTTGTATATGCTAAGACAGTGAAATACCTCTGTGAAATAATGTTTAAAATAAAATTTCACCTGTTAATAAATGCTATAACATGCATTTTGTTATATCTATATTATATCAGGCTAAAATTCTCAAAATGGCTAAATCATAATTGCATTAGATTTTATTTTTGGTCAACAAGCATTTAAAAAGCCATTGTTGATTTATCGTAATGTAGTTTGTTAGTTTTGGCTTGAACCCATTCAAACAAATTATTGTTTTTATCATTTTGTATGAACCTAGCCAAGTTCATTAATTAATTAGGTGTAATTGAATGATGTGATTTAAAATAAAGTGCAGTTGGTCACTAGGTTAAGAATTTAAATCTCAGATGAAGTTTAAAAAATTAGTTATAATTTCCCACAAGATAGATTTCTTTAGAAAAATTGCCAAACATATTATTTTTGTAATATAGAATGCGATTTGCTGTTCAGTGTTGTCAGTGATTGCTCAGAAATAAAACTGCTGCATTTAATGGAGGCTAATCATAAGTAAATTAGCTGACTTGAACAATTTTGAAAAACTAAAGAGGACTAGTAATCAACAGAGATTGCAAAGAATCCCAAGGACTTGGACAAAATCAAAAGTTTAAAAAATTTCCATAAGAAGGCAGCCCACTTTCCTATTGTTGCAAAAAACAAAAATCAAAAACCCTGCAAATATGCCCAAATAATCACCAGGATTCAGGTTTGTCTTGAGATAAATTTTGCCTTTATTATTTTTAATCTTAAGAAATAGTTCATTCAGCAGCATAATATAAACTTTGTTCCTTTTCACCAAAAAAGTGATTTTTAAACGTTTTTTCAAGCTTCTATCATATTTTTAAAGCCCACTTCACAGCTATTTTATCTATCCTTCCATTGCACTGGAGTGTGCAGATTATTTATTTGCTTTTTCATTGATAGTGGTAATAAGCAAATTGATGAGACTTGTAACATTAGACTGTCAGTTATAATCTGTTGTGAAGCCGTGGTACAGTGTAACATGTCAAACGTTGCTGTTGATCTTGTTTGAAGAAAAGATGTCTCTAGAATTTTTCTGTTTATTGCACTTACGTTGCATTCTGCTACCCTCAAGTGTCACCTTCAAGCAAAGGCATTTTGGTCTAAGTGTGTGTGGAAATTGGCAGTATAAATATAATTTTATTAGCCTGGAAATTTGGATAGTTTCTGGTATCTTGTCCAAGAATAATTGAAAAGTTTTCTCAACTACGGTGGGGTAGATACAAATGGTCTCAGTGCAATGGGGTTTTTATGTGTATGTGTGTGTGGTTGTGTTCAGTTGCTTATTACGTGATAAATTTCTGATGAGAAAGTAATGTTTGTGACAGAATCCACTTGTCATGACAGTTATGTGAAAAGGATAGAGCAGAATAATAGAAGAAAAAAACCATCTCAGCAGTGAACAAAATAATATTAAGAAAGGGAGAAGCAATATACAGCCCAAATGTTGGAGATGTGGCAATAATGATGCGACATATTTTCATATTTGGTGGAATTGTAAAAAAGTAAAGGCTTTTTGGATTATGATTTGGTGGAACATTCAAAAGATTTTTAGAAAAAAGATAAAGTTTACTCCTCAACTATTTTTACTTGGTATTTTTGTTGACTTAAATGAAAAAGAAACTATTTTGATGTTGAATTTATTAACTGCAGCAAGGTTACTAGTAGGTTTATATTGGAAGAAAGATTCTTTGCCTACTTTAGAAGAATGGATATTTAAAGTATCTAGTTTTGCAGAAATGGCAAAAATTTCTGCTTATTTAAAGGATCATACACAAGAAAGATATATTATTGTATGGGGAAGGTGGACAGATTATATTCAGAAAAAGTATGGAATTAAAAAGTTTCATTTATTTTATGAATGAATTTTAAATATTATAGAGAATTGTTTTATAGGTTATGGAGTTAAAGGTTAATTATGATATTTTTTTCTCTTTTTTTTCTTTTTTCTTAATTATTATAATTTTTTTATTATTAACCCTGTATTCTGCTCTGGGAAGTGAAGGGAGGAGGGTTGGGGGTGGGAGGGAGGGTAAGGGTTTTTTTTTTTCTACTTTAAAATTTTATTGTATTTTTATAAATGATTGTATGTTTAAAAAATAAAAAAATTCAATAAAAAAGAGTAATTAAAAAAAAAAGAAAGGGAGAAGGAAACTTTGCCAAATGTAACAATTGGTGAAATACTAAAAGTAATATTATATATTTTGGCAGCTTGCTTTTCATCGTACAAAATTACATGATTGGTCAAATTTTAATAGCCTATGTCTGCGTGTCCGTGGTGATGGTAGGCCGTGGATGTTAAACATCAATCCAAGCAAATACGACCCTACTTCAGTGAAGGATGCTTATAATTACTTCATATTCCCCCGAGGGGGGCCATATTGGGAGGAAATCGAGGTAACAATTATGACTTTTTTGATACTATTATAGAAAGTATGGATTCTGATATTTGAAAAAAATAAGCAAACAAGAATCTTTGGTTTCAAATAGTTGAAACATAAGAAAAGGATTATTTTCTTATGTGATTTTTTTCCCTCTCTAGTTTGGATTTTTTGTAAGAGTTTGAGAATGGCAAATTGCCACCTACCCATGGTAGGTAACTGGAGTTCTACTACTCCAGTTGCTATAGTACTTTTGTATTGAAAATATTTTTCTTTATTAAGAAAACTAGCATGCAATTGCCTATCCAATTATAGTCAATTGAGACAATTTACTATGCAAAAAGTAGTGAAAATCTTTGTATGTAACAAAGTGAGAATTGGTTATATCAGTAGAAACTAAAAAAAATGGGTTGAATGTTACAGATATGGGTCTCTTAAGAAATATGTGCAGTAAAATAGTCAAAAAAAGGATGTTAATGAATGTATATTGAAGAAAAATGTCAGTATTCGTAACAAGATATATGGTATGTTGTTGTTTTGTGAAAAAACAATGTATGAAAGAAAAATGAATATGTTGAAAGAAATGTTCAAATACTCACATACATTTTTTAACTGATCTGTAAATTCTTTACAACAGGTTCCATTTTCTAAGTTCTTTTTTACAAGCCACGGGAGAATCCAGGATGGCCAGTATGAAATGTGGTCAGATAGGGTAAGTGGTTTTTAAACTTGCTATTTGAAAATGCATATAAGATCTGTGATCAAAATCCTTAATCATTTATTCACTGAATTTGATTTATATCATGTCTTTTTGCTCTGGTAGGGATCAAGGTAGCTAACTAAACTAAACTAGACTAACTAAACTAAACTAACTAGAATAAAAAAGCAGTGTTAAAAATTAAGTAAAATAATATATATATGAATGATTATATTCACTATCAATTCCAGGAAGATTATCCACTTGGGAAGAAATGTATGTTTATACATTTCCTAAAAACTTTCAGGAGGGTGTATTCCACCCAATATTTTGTTTTCAGGGAATGTAATAAGCATTTTCTTCTCATCCATCTCATTGCAAAAAACACTGAAGAGTATATTATCCAGGAATAATCCATGTGGCACTCCATTTGATATTTCTCTCGAGTTTGATGAGGAACCAGTATTTGAGTAGACTTCTTGAGTCAGCAGTGCACACAATTATACCGTTCAGACCACACTTAACAAGCTTGTTAATCAACGCCATGTGGATTTTTATATATTTTCCTGAAGCCAGATATATCCGTAGCATTCCCAATTTATTAAAAAGATTTCTCAGAGAACAAGATAAGTGAGGCCAGGTTGGTTCTTGACAATTTCATCTAACTTAGTAAGTACCAAAGTGCTTACAAATAAAAGTCTTTATAAGTTTTTCTGGAATATTCCCAGGTGTCAGACGGTTCAAACTACACATCTTCAGAACTACAGATCAAATGCTAGATCAAGTGCAAAGAGAGGAGCAACCTAGAACTAAGGAGAAATTTCCTGACAATTAGAACAATTAATCAGTGGAACAACCTGCCTCCAGAAGTTGTAAATACTCCAACACTGGAAGTTTTTAAGAAGAGACTGAACAGCCATTTGTTTGAAATGGTATAGGGTTTCCTGCCTAAGCAGGAGGTTGGAATGATAGAAGATCTCAAAGGTCCCTTTCAATCATCATCATCATCATCATCATCATCATCTTTTCTTCTATTTTGTGAGGGACATTTGTATCCTGGTCATTTGGAACTTTACTAATTCTTTATAATTTGTTGAATACGATATATGTGAAACATAGTTTGTATCAGTCAGCTAGTTTCTTCAGCACCCTAATATGAAATTAAACTGGTTCTAGATCAGTGGTTCTCAATCTTTTTAATGCCGCAACCCCCAACTGGTCGTAAGTCGAGGACTACTCAACCGGTCGTAAGTTGAGGACTACTCAACTGGTGCAGCACCGTTTGCAGAATGGGACTTTTGGCAGGCTCAGCAGGGCAGAGACAGCCTGGACAATTCTATTGGCTTTTGAAAGCCAATAGAATTAGACTCTATTCAAGAGAGTCTATTCTATTGGCTTTCAAAAGCCAATAGAATAAAAGGGAGTAGCACAGCTAAGGAAAAGGGGAAAAAAATGGCGGACTGTGTTGTTTGGCGACCCCCATGAAATGGTCGCTCGACCCCAAATGGGGTCCCGACCCACAGGTTGAGAACCACTGTTCTAGATATTAAAACACATTCAAAGTGAAAAGATATTCCCCGATTGTCATATTTCTGATAATCTCAGGCTTCATTCATACCTGGTGTAACATAGGGACAGAAAATGAATTAATTTCTTCATTGTTTTCCTCCTTGAATCCCAACTCTAGTCACTGTTACTTTCTATGTAACTAGGACAGCTAGAACATTAAAAGCAAGTATGATAGTTGGATTCTTGATGTTCTCTGAACTTGGTGGTTTTCCTGAAGATATTCCATTATTAAATTAGGCTAAAATCAGTGTGGTGTGGGAAAATAAGCTCAGCAAACACTAAGAATCCATCCCTGAACTACATAATATTCTTTACTGTAACAGTTATGACAGATCTTCTATACAATGAATAAAGTGTAATTGATTATTTAAAGGTACCGTGGGGCAAAAAAGTATTTAGTCAGCCACCAATTGTGCAAGTTTTCCCACTTAAAAAGATGAGAGAGGCCTGTAATTGTCATCATAGGTAGACCTCAACTATGAGAGACAAAATGAGAAAACAAATCCAGACACACACATTGTCTGATTTGGAAAGAATTTATTTGCAAATTATGGTGGAAAATAAGTATTTGGTCATCTACAAACAAGCAAGATTTCTGGCTCTCACAGACCTGTAACTTCTTCTTTAAGAGGCTCCTCTGTCCTCCATTCATTTCCTGTATTAATGGCACTGTTTGAACTTGTTATCAGTATAAAAGACACCTGTCCACAAACTCAAGACAGTCACACTCCAAACTCCACTATGGTAAAGACCAAAGAGCTGTCGAAGGACACCAGAAACAGAATTGTAGATCTGCACCAGGCTGGGAAGACTGAATCTGCAATAGGCAAGCAGCTTGGTGTGACAAAATCAACTGTGAGAGCAATAATTAGAAAATGGAAGACATACAAGACCACTGATAATCTCCCTCGATCTGGGGCTCCACGCAAGGCTCTTACAGGCAAAAAAACAAAATCAAGTAGAGAGAGTAACAAAGAAAAATCTCACCTGGATTCACCACCGGGGCTCTTACAGCTTAGATATTCTTCACTTGCAGTTTGAAGCAGCAGGATGATCAGCCATTTTACCGGCCGATCTTCTTCTCCTTCGGCCCTCAGAGATCGCCCGGACAGCTGGAGGAGCCGCTGCTCCTCTGCAGCCGAGCTGAAGCCTCTTTGACGGAAGTCACACCTTTCAGGGCGACTTTCGACCCGCATAAGAGTCGACCGGCGGAGGGAAGGCTAGCTGCCAAGGAGACAAGTCTGTCCGTGTGACTAGAGTCGCCACGAACCGAAACCAGAAGTCAAGGTGTATAGATTTTTGACAGGGGAAAGACTGCTGAATCTGTGTACTAGAGGAGGAGGAGGAGGTTTGGAACATTTTTGAGTTCTCTGGAAATTGTGTTCTTGAATTAAATAAGTTTTGAATGTTGCTAATCAAGAACTATGTAGTTAATGTTTCATCTTTTTAATGAAAATAGTTGCAAAAACATCAATTTAGGCTTAATAGACACAACATAAATAAAGGCTGCCTGACTTTATACAATATTTTTGTGAAAATAATACAAAGTGTTTTTTCTCTTTTTTAACAGATCAGCACATTGGGACTTACTCTGGCTGATAAAGTAGATGGTCCATTCCAGCTGGATATAGACTTCATTGGATTGTTGAGTGACAAATCACATACAGAAACATTTGCCTATGAGCTCTATGAAAGAAATCCCCAGAAACAGAACAAGTAGAGGACAGTTGTTCGTATCTGTTTAAAATATTTCTGCAATTGCATAGCATTCAATAGTAATCTACAGTTGAGTAGGCGACTTATCAATGAATACAAGTTACATAAGCAATTAGTCATGGGAAAATGACAAAAATCAAAATAGTAAAGTAAGAATTCTATGATAGTACCATCTAGCATGCAGCCATTTAGCCATCACTTGCATGGTGATGATGGTGGGAAGTGAAACTAATGTGCACATGCTCCCCAGTCCCCAATTAGTAAAGAACATCTGTATAAGAAACAGAACTGAACTTATCCTACTTTTTACATGTAGTTTACATGTACTTACATTGGTCAAAAGAAAATTACTGCATTTATTTTAGCTGAAGGAGAAATGAACGTATGAATATTTAAATTTTGTACATGATTGCCATCAAGTTGTTTTTGACGCCTAGCAACCTCAGATATTCTCCATATTCTCCATGGTCTATCCCTAAGTTGCTTTAGATCTTCCAAAATTGTATCCATTGCTATTGTAAGTCTATCTGCCTTCCTGTTCATTCTCCTTATAACTTCCACTTTCCCCAGCATTAGAGCCTTTTCCAGAAAGCTAGGTTTTCACATATGTCTGAAGCAGAATAATTTAAACCTCATCATTTGTGACTCTGGTAAGAACTCAGGGATGATTTGTTTTGTGATCCATTTTTATTTTTTTGGCTATCCACATTCTCTGCAGTCTTCAACACCAAAGTTAAAAAGTGTGACTTCATGTAACCGCATCACTTTGCAACAGCAATTCCAACAGCTGCCATTGGTAACCAAATCCCACTGGTACTTGGACAAGGAGTCAAGTTGATCCAACCCATTCCTGACGTGGTTCCCTTTCCCAGCCCCAAGCCCCGTAAAGAAAGGGATTGCCTCATTTTCAATTCCCCATACCCACCTATGGCTGCCCTGCACAGTAGCACTCCTCAGTGGCAGTGGTGGCAAAAGTAAATGCCTGGAGCCTTCAGTCCCGGCCTACTGCCCCCGTTTTAGTTCCAGTGTCGTTAGACCCAAGAATTGCCACCTCAAATCCTACACTGGCCAGCCACCTTACTGCCACAGTGCGAAGCCCCAGCAACCCTATAGGCCCTGTCATACCCAGTTGACTTCCAGTATCTTTCACTACTAGTGAAGCATGCCCAGCCTTATCTAAGGCAGTGGCTCGCCACACCAGGCCTTTCCCCCAAGGCTGCTGTTCCCATTCTCCAATGATGTGTTATTTTCAGATTTCTGAGGTCTTCTGAAACATTGTGATAATGCTATACCTATCATCTCCAAATTGTACATGCTGTTCTCACAGTGCTTTAGAAAGCTTCTAAGGCCTTCATAGCTCCTTTTCTCCAAATCATTCATGCCATTCTTAAGATCATTTGGAAGCCTGGGTAGCCAAATGGGCAGAGATGTAGAGGGAGTGGAAATAGACAGATGAAGTTGAAGCGCCCCTGCAGTCTTAGTGCAGGCAGGCTTGTAAGTGCTCAAATTATGATCACGACTGCTGCATTGGCATTAACTTCAAGCATCAGACGTAAATACTATTTGTTCAAACAATCACTGAACAAATGGCTGTTACACAAGGAATACCTGTAATTTGTCTTCCTTAATTTTAGTCCTACTTTTCTCCACTATTATTACTGGAGCTTGCAGATCCTTTGCATTTTTGGCTATTACAATTGTATCAACATAGCGCAGGTTATTTATGTTTGTTCCTCAGACAAGAGTATAGCATTTCTGAAGTTGTAACTACAACCAGCACCCTTGGAATTCAAATACCAAAATCATTTATTCTGGTTAAATTAACATTTAAATAAAACACACTTTTATATTTGAGTGATAACTGAAAGCATTTTTGTAACAAAGAGGCGAGATAATTATATTTCAAAAGATTTCCACAAATGTTTGAAAAAACCTGCTATAAATTGCTATAAAGGCAATTCTTTTTCATCAAGTTTGTTGATGTCAGTTATTTTCTAATGGAAGAATTTAATGTGAGCAGGAACTTTTAGATAATGCCATTGAAGAAACTGGGTATGAGCAATCAATTAAAAGATTTAACTACTGCTTGATACATCTCTCCAGATTTCACCTTAACCTCGGTTGTATAAGTGACTTCGGCTCCTTTCCTAATGATTTGCCCCAGATGTGTACTAGAATACAAGGGATTAGAAAAAGCATTATTGAGTAAGCTACATAATCCATTATCCCAAGCGCCAGTAATGTGGATAAATTACTGTTTGAAAAGTATTATTTTATGATTATGGTACAAGAACTTAACAGGATTTAATCTACAGTGGTGCTTCTTCAATACATAAATGAATAGGGATGTTTTTTGCTAATTTGTTTATCTATTTTTTGGACTTTTGTGTAGAACATATATATTAGGTGATATTTATGCAAACATTGAAAATCCAAATAGGTTCACGTTTTAATCACCACTGTATAAGGAAAAAAGTTTAGGATAACTATGTGTATATTTTGAAATCAGTTTAGGAACCTTTTTACCAGTTTAAGAGCTGGTTTAGTAGCTAAGAAATTGATCTATTTTGAATAAGAAATAATATTTAAAATTTAAGTCATCTCGGTATATACTATCCTATTGGAGTATAGAAGATAGATTTTTATTTCTATCATAGATTTAGTTGTGGTAGCTTTTCTTTTTGACTTGCTAATTAAATTAACAATTCTACTTTAAAAAGAAAAACCTAATCATCAGAATATATGTAATGATAATATGATGTTGAAAGGGATCTTGGAGGTCATCTAGTCCAACCCCCTGCTCAGGCAGGAAACGCTATACCATTTCAGATAAATGGCTGTCCAGTCTCTTCTTAAAAACTTCCAGTGTTGGGGCATTCACCGCTTCTGGAGGCATGTTGTTCCACTGATTAATTGTTCTAACTGTCAGGAAGTTTCTCCTTAGTTCTAGGTCAGTGGTTCTCAACCTTTCTAATGCCGTGACCCCATAATACAGTTCCCCATGTTGTGACCCCCAACCACTTATACATCAGCAGGTGCCAGGGGCATGGCCAAAGAAAAGGGGGAAAAATGGCGGACAGCCTTGTTTGGCGACCCCCGTGAAATGGTCGTTCGACCCCAAATGGGGTCCCGACCCACAGGTTGAGAACCACTGTTCTAGGTTGCTTCTCTCCTTGATTAGTTTCCATCCGTTGCTTCTTATCCTGCCTCCAGGCGCTTTGGAGAATAGCTTGACTCCCTCTTCTTTCTGGCAGCCCCTGAGATAATGGAACACTGCTATCATGTCCCCCCCTCGTATAATGTATAATAAAAAAAAAGTTGACTGACAAAAGTTGACAACATATGACAAAGCTGTATACCAGTAGTAGTAAAATTAAAACGAATTTTTATCTATAAACACAATTATTTTAATTAGGAGTAAATTAAGACATTTTTATAAAAAAATTCTCATTAAATGAATTTAAAATTTGCTGTATATCCAGAAGATTGAATTGTTTGATACAATAAACTTTGATCCAGTTATTGAGAAGAGAATGTTTCCAGACAATTTAGGATATAGTTAAGGCATATACTAAGCAGATTTGATAGAAGAAAAGATAGCTAACCTTTTGAAAATATTTCTAAGCTTTCTAAGACAATAGCATTAGCTACTGAATAACTGAATTTAGTAGCGCCAGTGTTCTATGTTCATATTAAAATAAGAATACTCAGACTAGATAGCTTAAGGAGAGACAAGAATTATTTACAAGAAAGTAAAGATTTTCAGTATTAAGATTATTTACAGAACAATTTGAAAGTCAGCTTTAAATAACAGTCAGGCATCTAAATGTGCTAAGCTTTTGGTCTTTTCTTTGTTTTCTTTCTTGTATGTGTTTCTTCCGTCTGTCATCTCTGTTAAACAAAAAGGTGACAAAATAATGTTAGCATTAATGCACAAATAAGTAAAATGAAGGCAAACTTAATTTTATTATTCATACTTCATGCAGTTAAGTTTTTAGCTACTTGCCAGAAATCCTTGTCTTTTTTCTCTATGTGATCTAATTTTTGGCATAGGGCCATCAAACTTCTTTTAAGGAATATACTATGGAGAATTTTAAGAAAGGCTCTGTGTTTGATCAAATTTCTACGATTCTAAAATGAAAAAGGTATAAACTTCAAGGTTACCCAAATGTTAATTTAATGAAGGCAGAGGACAACAGAATAATCATAGCACTTGACAGGGACTTTTAAGAACTGACATTATATACATGCCTGGTTTGAAGAGGTGGCTCTTTGTAATATTTCTTGCGGGAAGATAGTCTCTGGTGAGTCTCACTAGGGTTGCCCCATGGTTTCAGTTTTCCTATATTGATATAAGGAAAATGTGTTACTTGTCTCTTTCCTGTTCTCATCTGCTGCATCAAGTAAAAGAGCAAATATTTCCCATGTTTCTTTTGTGAGAAAATTTTGCCTATGTGAAGCAAGTTAATATAGAGCCAAAAAACAAGATACTTTATTAGCAGTATCACAGCCAAAAATATACTTGTTTGAGATAAGAACAAACTCAAAAAGCAAGAAATAGCTTGTTTTAACTTAGTTTCTATTAATATGTCAAATTACACGATAGATTAATTTGAGATTAATAATGTACATTTGAGAAAATAAAGGCAAATTGCAGACAGTATGTGACTAAATTCTCAATTTGTTTGCAACTGCTAATATTTTCATGCTCTTTTGCACTTGAGTTATTTTTAAAACTATGGTTACCTTTGTGTGGCTGATAAGTAAGTGGTCTTGATAGACTTGCTTGTAGATCAAATACTGATTTCTTGGCGCTTGTGGGTTCTACAGTCTGATTTATAAACTTGAAAGGAATGACAGCTATAAGGAGAAAATCAATGTAGTGATAATAAGCAACAAGATCATATTCATTTAACTTTTGAGTTTAAAAATGGGAATAACACTTGAATGCTAGAATACAGCTTTTTTTTACCCTTGGTACCAATTTGAATAGTATAAAACTACATACTGGAAACAAAAGGAACACCGTCTTGACTGTGTAAAGATTCTGCATAAATATTCTCCACAACAATCACATGTAAATGAAGTGCATGTTAGTAATTATACAGTTCTTCGGAAAAGTTACCAGAATTTGTAACAGAAGTTTCTGTTGTCTGACAGTTCACTGTTCCTTCTTTGAAGTCTTTGCTAGTTATACATTCACTGCTTTTCTGATTATCTGGAGTGCAGTTTTTCAGAAATGAAGATTTCCTAGATGGAGTCTTGATAAGGGAACGTTTCTCTTCATTGTCTTTTGTAGATTCAGAAAACCTAACAAAAACATATTTATAGTATTCAGTGGCTTATAATTTTATATACACTTCATCCAAACAACTAGGAGCATATAAAAATATTGAAACATTTGAATATCCTATCACAGAAAACACTGGAATTAACTCAGAATTCTGTTTAAAACTTTTTTTAGATTCTACATATAACCATTCTCTCAAATGCATACTTCATTTTTACACTGAGAAAATGCAAAAAAAAAAAAAGACCTAAGTCCAAACAATTTTAAGTATTTTTGTTTATGAATATATATATATTTGGATTCTATGACCTTAAATTTGGTAATTCACACATTGCCACATGTAAGCTATTTTTATTTAATGCCACATATCATCTTACCTGACATTCATTTTAGTTGTAGAAAGGCTGGTTGAACTGAAGGATGATTTTTGAGATAGAATACTTTTATTTGCAGTGCCAAGGGAATTGCGTTTTGAATGCCGCAGTTTTACTGGAGTGCCTGTGGCAGAAAGCCTATTCTTTTGAGAAGGGGGACTTAATAAAACCCCTCTGGAACTGGAACATACCTGCTGAGATGAGGGACATGTCCATGTTTTAGGATGTTGTTTGTTGAAAGGAAGTTGAAGTTATTAACGGAAAATTTATCCTTACCTTTGAATTGGTATTTAGATTTTCTTTCTGAGAAGTCTTCAGAGACTTATTCTTCTTAGCCAGGATCTGCAATTAGAGACCTAGGATTTTTTCCCCCTCTTAACAATTGCTCATAATAAAATACCAGGATGCTTTTAAAAACCAATGCTAAGCATAGAGATGAACAAATGATCAAACAGAAGCAAAAACTGTTAAAAAAATAGTACTGCTTTTCTTCTTTACTCCAGTTCATCTATCACCACAAGAAACAATGGAAACTTTAATTACCGTAATTTCCGGCATATAAGACAACTTTTGAAAGCATTGAAATCGGCGCCGAAGTCGGGGGTCATCTTATACGCCGAGTCATCTTATACGCCGGAAACAACAGTAGTTTCCGGCGTATAAGACGACTTTCTAGGCATGCGACTCGGCGCCGAAGTTGGGGGTCGTCTTATATGCCAGAAAACACAGTAAGAACTTATATTTGTTTTAAGCCACAGGTTTCTTGTGATGTTCAGCCTGAGCTCAATGTAGTCATTAGGAAGATTCCTGTGTTTTTTAGAAACTTTAAGTGGTCCATGAAGAGCAACAAAAAGTGATATTAACATAAGCCAGAATTTGAGCCAAAATAGTTTTTTAAATTTTTGCAAACTTAAACCACTTGAAATTAAGAAAATCTAAATTACTTTATGGTCAGTCCAAAACATAACTTCCAAAGTTAATAGCTACTGATAAAGGAGAATATTTGTAGCTGAGGGTTGAAATGAGGGGATCTTGGTAATCTCTGAGCTTGGCTGTTTTTCTTGCAGTTGTTTCATTACCCAAAGATAACATTGCCATACATCAAAAAAATCTGACAAAGCACCAACAGACTATTACAACCACATGGAATCAGCACACAAACCAACTACAGCCCTCTAAAACATCCTAAGTAAACCAAAAGATCCAGCAGTCCCAGAAGAAAAAACAGGATTCATCTACAACAGGGGTGTCAAACTCAATTTCATTGAGGGCTGCATCAGCATTGTGGTTGCCCTCAGGGGGCC